TGACCAGTCAACGTACACTTACGTCACCCATGGCTCCTGTTGTGCTGGGAGAGTAACTACCTTGAAGTAGGAGCTAAAAAAGCCCTTAAAACAACGTCCTATTGTCATTCTCACTTCCTGCAGAGTGGACACACACAAAAGTGCAGACTTTCTCCAGCAGCTGTAAGAACTATGAAAAGATTCCTCTGGTCTGATTCAGGTCAAGGGACAAAACTGGCCAGGTCGTAGCTTTGACGTTTTTCATCTGTAAAACCTCTTGTGTGATTTCTGTAGTGTGTTTGTCATTGACATGGTGAGTAACACTTACAGCTGAGTTCAGAGATGTGAGAAGTTCAAATGAGCTCAGATGTGCATATGTTTACTTTCAGTGGAATATTCATAGCCCCCAGATAAGAGAAGGAGGGAAGGAGCACAGTGGGGGAAGGTAAAGGTGCAAAAGCTGCTCTTTCTTTTTCTCGTTCTTGCCACCTCATTCTCAAAGCTCTTTACATCCATTGGCTCCATCCTTTCTTCACTTTTCAATTTCTTTTCTCTCCCTCTATCCTGTCTGGAGTGCTCTTTATCCCCCAGTCCTCAGTATTCTCCCACACCCTCCTGCCCCAGTCTCTCGTCTCATCCCCTCATCCCCACCCCTCAGAGCGTTTAGTGATTAATGCGAGTTTTAATTGTCATGCTCACTTTTATGCTCATTAAAGTGTATTATGCAGCAGTTAGGGTATTAAAGTTCAGCCAGAAATTTCATGCATACTGATGAGAATGCAAATGAGCCCTAGCATGAAAGGATACTAAGGTTTGTATTGTGCATGTGTGCGTCTGATTATCCCCAGGAGTGAGCTAGAGTGTCATTATCACCCGCACTCGTCATCTTCGCAGAGCAGAGAGAGTCCATCCAAAGAAAACACGTTAATGGAAGCCGTAAAGCATCCTTTATGCATGAATACCTGAATAGTATGTAACTTACGATGCTCTGTGTTGCAAGAAATGCTGCCTGAGCTTTATTCAGTAAGATGCAATAAATTTACATAGATTTACAAGAAATATACATACAAAATAAAACTGCAAAGGGTAAAATTATAGGTTTAGCATCTAAATCGCCTGTGAGATTTGTAGCCCTGCCATGTAGTGTATGTGGTGAGAGTAATGAGTTTTAAAAAGCAGCTATATACAAGCAGCTTGAATGGTATCTAGTAATATTACTTAGGCACACGGGTGTTTTGAGCTAAATGCTAATGACAGCACACCGATGTTGATCAGCTGTAATGTTTAGTGTTAATCGTCTTATTTTGGTATTATCCAAAGATTATTTAAGAGCACTAAGCATCGAGTTTAAAGAAGGCTGAGTTTTATAGGTGATTTGTCATAAACTAAAGTTCAAATTTTGACTTGACGAAGCCACTAAATGAAAAGTTTAAAGAGCATTAAGGTGCATTTCTCACACAGTCTGCTAACCCAAGAGACAGTGGGATAGGATGTGGTGTCTCTCAGCTACAGCTAGGAGAGATGTCACTTCCAGTCCCATATTCACTGGGCTTATCAGACAATGTGAGAAATCTTTGTTAAAGAACCTTTACGTTGACGATCTATTTAATAGTTGTAGGGGTTTCCCTCAACATTTCATCCTCGTGATGGTACTAAAAGCAAAGTCAGTCGGATTTGCCCTCTGTGGGCTGTGACTGTATAAAACTTTGTGGACCAACCAACAGACTGACTTTTCATAAATGTAGCTAGCATGGCTGAAAAAAATGAAACAGCAGCAGCAGCATGGTTTATTAACTGAGGCATCTTGATGAAACGTTTGTACTCTAAGCAAAGAAGAAGATAAGAACCTTATCAACATAATGATCCGCTGAAACTGAAATGTAATACAGTGATAGTGAAATTCAAGCGGCTACCCAACAGATGAACACAAACTCAGTTGCTAGAATGTGAGTCTGTCTTATTCCAGGCAGTGTGTCATGTTGTGGGTGTGTGTGTGCTGGCGTTGTCTTTTCTCAGCCCACCTGCTGTTATCACCATACTGTCTGAATAGGCTCAGTCATTACTGTGCTTCTGCTGTGCTGTCTGCAGGGGAAAATGAGACAATAGTAAAGATTTTCAACCAGGGGGCTTAAATCATTTACACAGCATGGAGCGAGTGCTGAAATAAGTCTGCTGATAACTCTGTCCTGCAGGAGCAGTAGGTGGTACTGTAACCACAAAGAGAAAGATGGATCAACTCATTACAGTGACAAACTGGGTATTTATGCATGAATAAAACCGCTTAAAATCGGATCTGAAGTGTTCCCCTGGCGCTGAGCAAAAGGAGATATCAGACATTGCACGTTATTGTTTGAAACAAAGTTTTATACTGTCGGTGTGATGTTCAAATAAATGGGTTTGGGTTTCAGCTTTACTAGGTGTTCTGGAGCCCCTCGACAACAGGCCCGCTGCAGATTCAGCACAGGAACCACACTTACATGGTTTTGGGACGCCTTCACTGACACATTTATGCATCTGTTGAACACCACATTTACTGTCGTGTCATAATGCATTTCAGTTTTAACTGTCTAGGTCACATTTTTCAATTTAGCTCTCCCTCAGGCAAAGAAACACCAGTGAGGCCAGATTAGCTGCTCCTTTCTTTAAGCTCCATTAATCAGTATTTTTCATAGTAACTCCAATTTTTCCAGTGCAGTGTTTGTTTAGCAGCAGCTGTTTGTCCAGAGGTCCACACAGTTTGTAAGGTGACAATACAAAAATATACAGTATGGAGATTATATTATTTCAGAATTCATTTGTTTTTTTTTAATATTTTATTCATAATTTGAATCTGCAAATTAACTTAAGATAAAGTGGAGCAGAAGTATAAAGTAAAAAGTACCTCAAAATTGTATGTGGATACTAGAGAGCTGCTTTGTTCCCCTGTGCATACAAATAAGGAAATACTTAAGTACCTCAAAATTGTATGTGGGTACTAGAGAGCTGCTTTGTTCCCCTGTGAAATTATTGCTCTTCAAACATTAGTGCATGGATTCAAATTAGAAGGGTATTGGAAGATGGTAATGAATGTGGACACAGCAGCCCTGTTGTTTCAGCCACAGCATCTAGTCTGGGACTGTACCTGGGACTGAGATGAGTGCAGCTACCAGCTAATAAAACAAAAACCTATCGCTGAACCCCTGGGGACAACTAACAACATAACCATTGTCCATAGTGAACTCTGTCCATTGGCCTAGGGTGAGAACATTTGTGCAGAAGTGATCAGGATCAAAGACCCTGTTCACACCTGGCTTCTACATGCATCCTGGGAAATCCGAACACAAGTGGCCGGCTAAGAGAGCACGTGTTCACACCTGGTATTAAAATGCGTACCCATATGCCTCCTGAGTGATCGGATCTGACCTCCTCTGCTCTATATGCAAATAAACAAATACATCATTTCTCCTTGTAAACACCAAATGCATTTTTATTTTAACTGTTGGCCAGAAATAACAAGAGGAAGACGATCAGCCATACAAATACGAAGAAGAAATCAAATCAATATAGAAGTCTGTTCCTTAATGGACTGACTCCTGGTCCCAAATGGAGATCAGGCAGAGTGTCTCCTGGTAACTCCATCCGTGTACGTCCATTGTAATGTTCTTTTTTTCTTCTTTTGAATACTACCTTCCACACACACAGGGCTTTATTGCACACAAATGAGTAGCTATTTCCACCTAAGCCAATGATGTTAGTTTAGTAGGCAGTCCCTCAATCCATCCCAAGACAAATTCATTGTCAAACTAGGAAGAGAATGTGGACAAATGTGCCCCAGACCACCTCCGAATGTGTGCCAAGTGATCAGATTTGAATCCGTCCTGGAGTGTGTTCACACCTGCCATTAACACTGGCCACTTGTCTTCAGATTCCCCAGGACGCATGTTAATGCCAGGTATGAACAGGGCCAAAGAAACAGCTACACCCTTTCTGAGGCCATTATGTAAATGAAACCATCTGAAATGTTTAGAAGGGACATGTGCCTTTGGTGGAAGTGATAGCAGGTAAACGTTTCCCATTCAGTTCAATGGGAAGTGTTTCAAAGCCGGCAGGGTGTTTGAGAAGTGAGGAGTAGTGGTGGGGATCATTGTTTGTATTACCTGTACCACCTGTCCCTCTGATGTAGCCTGCACCATCTGTGCTTTGTCAATGGATGTTTTATAAGACTGGAGAAATAATGTCTAAGCTATATGGTTATAGTTAATGTACTGTAACAGACTGCCTTATGTATAATATGTTTCTGTGTTGGGGGGGCTGTATCCCCTCAGGGTTGCCATAAGTAGGAAGTGCTAGTGGAGTCATGCTCTGGGTATGTTGTGGAAGCCAAATAAAAAGTCGGAAACTACTTCATCTGCTGGCTGCGTTTGTTATTTTCTTTATTGCAGCGTAAAGTTGAGCCAACGCAGTCGCTCAGTTACAGTAGTTAACACTGGTTCCACCTTTACCAGCTGCAACATCAAATGGGATGTACACAATAATGCATCAGTAATTATAATTCAGTATTATACATTAATGTGAAATGTGTCATTCTGCATAATGAGTACTTTACCAAGTATATTTTGATGTTAATACTTGTACTTTTTATTCAAGTAACATTTTGAATGCAGAACTTTTACTAGTATTGTGTATTTTTAAACCGAGATAATTCTACTTTTACTTGAGTAAAGAATCAGAGTAGTTCTTCCACCACTCCTGGTTCACTTTTTGTCCTTCATTGTATTTCCTACAGCCCTGTGACAGACCGGCGACCTGTCCAGGGTGGACCCCGCCTCTCGCCCAGTGTCAGCTGGGATTGGCTCCAGCCCGACCCTGTTCAGGATAAGCGGTATAGATAATGGATGGATGGATTTGCTACAATGAGCTGTGTTTGCTCAAACGGGCCCACATTCCAACGGACTTTAAACATCACACGGGGCGGTGCTGCGTTCACTGCCCCCTCCCCCCAAACCACGAGGCTCCGGTGTTGACAGGCCGATCACCGCCCATCGGCACACAGTTCAGTCCGGCTTCTCCGGTCTGACACCAGACAAAGCCTCGTCTCTCCGTCGGTAATAAACGTAAACGAACACCGTTACAAACACAGCCTGGAAGAGAAGACGGTCGTTACTAGGACTCCTAGGTTTCTAACGCTCTTTAGTCGGGTTTTGAGCAGCCGTGTGGGAATTCCGCCCTCACGGAGCTAACCGGACAGACCCCGCCTTCGCTTCATTTGTCAACAAAGGGGTTTGACAAGCTCGGAGAAGCCCAGCCTCCATGTTGCCTTAAAAGGATAATTTGGCCATCCACGGCCAACAATCAGACCGAGGGGAACCTTTTTCTTCTCTCCGTGCCGTTCATATGGTGCGTTGACGTCCTCCGTCGCCCTTAGAGTGGAGTTATCATGGCGGAGCGTGTGCAGCAGCCCCCGGCCAAGCGGCTCTGCAGTAGACCGGGCTACAGCGCGACATATAGGCAAGGCCAGCGGGCCGCGGGGGCGCCGTGTGGCGGCTCGGCTGCTACCCAGGGCGGATCGAGCAAAACCCTGAGCCCGGAGTCTCTCCTCGATATCGCGGCGAGGAAAGTGGCGGAGAAGTGGCCGTTTCAAAGGGTAGAGGAGCGTTTCGAGCGGATCCCGGAACCCGTTCAGAGGCGGATCGTGTACTGGTCTTTCCCGAGGAGCGAGCGGGAGATCTGTATGTACTCGTCGTTCAACACCGGCGGGGAGGAGATGGGAAGTAGCGGGGAAAGCAGCGACGAGACGCGGCTGCCTTTCCGACGGGGCATCGGTCTGCTGGAGAGCGGCTGCGTGGACAACGTATTGCAAGTCGGTGAGTGATGTTAAGCAACCGGGCACATCGAGTCCAAATTCAACCTTTCCTACCAATTAATCACCCAGAAAACAACAATATAGCCTCTGTTAAATATCAAGTATGCGAATGACGAGAATAGTTAGATGTAGATAAAGTGACAGACTTTCACAACAAAGGCTGGAGGCGACAGTGGCTTTAAATCTGCTGGGTGCCTGAATGGGAACGTGTGACTGGGGCATTTAAACCCCGGGTTCCTTGGGGCACTTTGGTTGTATAATGTTGAGTACATAGCCTAATGTAAGTTTATAAATTAAATAACAGCCAAGTCATGGCTTTAACAAAAGAGGAATTCCTACATTTCCACATCATAACTCCACCACAGCTCATTTAGAAACTTTAACAAAATAAAGATAAATGCCCAGATCGACAGTCTGCTGCTGGTTTAGAGGCAAATCTGTGAAACACAGCTGTGTCAGTTTGTGACAGAAAAGTCCCAAGACTTTTTATAACTGGTTTGGGGTCAGATCATGGGACTGACATTAGAAAGTACCTTAAACCGCTTCATTTCTTTCAAATCCTACCATTATATCAAAATGACTGAGTGATTTAAAATGAGCATATACTAGCATTAAAGTGTAGTTTTCATCTTAAGTATCACAATTTTTGAGACCTCACACTAGATAAGAGGTTTGTAATCAGAAGCCGTTAAAATGCAGTCTGGCCTTTTTAAAATCCATTATAAATGATTTCATAAAACTGTTGAGTAATAAGGGAAGTGCTCGTGATGGGTTGGGTCTCAACTGACACACATTACATTTGAATGAGTTGTTCTGTGTGACACGCTGGAGATGCTGAATAATAGCTATACATGCACATTGTGTCTTTGTCTGGCTGCATAGTTTGATCAGTGAACACATTGTGCTGCAAGGAGAAGCCACTAAATGCAAACTACTGAGTTGGAAAGCAGTCAAATATGCAGCTCCATTTTAATGATGTTAACTATTTAGATCTGCTGGTGTGGCAATATGTTTTTACTGGGATGTTTTAGTGCAGAATCAAAATCACAAAGGTAAATGGGTTCTCCTAGCTAATGGCAGAAATGAGAGTAGATGTCACAGTTGCCTCATGTTGGTTTGTTTAAAACCCACTGAAAGGCAGTGTGTATTTTTTCTGTGTGAAACCAGAACAGGCACCTCTGTGTGCGCTGAAGTGACGGCTCCCTGTGCATGACAACGTTTCTCCAGCAAGAACGCGAGTCAGTCACTCTGCAACATTTCTTTTTTTGCCATTTAGTTGCATTTTTATGTGTTGGTTGATGCGTTTAGTTACCCGGCACAAACATTCCTATTGTGAGTTTGGCACTTTGTTCCCATTTTCATGTTCATTTGTGTCTTTCAAGCTTCCTGTCGCCTCCAAAAGGAAGGCAGACAAAAGCATCTTTTCACCCCCTTGTTAAGTTGAAGAGATTTAGAAGGAGGAAGTGTATTGAGCACAACTATTCTTTTAAATGGGCCATGATTCACACCAGTCTACAGCCAATTGGTTCAGGTTTTTGTGTGCATCTGTATTTAAAAAAAAAAAAAACGACAACAGAGAGTTGGCTGTGAGGGAAGCAGACGTGGTGTTAGATTGAAGAGATAGCTCTCATTGATGAAGATGGTTTTCAGTCTGCAGCCTTCATCACTGCAGGGTCAGTCTCTGAATGTGTTGTAGTCGTCACCTGTGAGTTCACCAGAGCCGGGGCGCCTTCGCAGGACTGTAATCCCATTACTCTGCATGGTTAATTTGAATTGTAATGCAATCTGAACACTTGAGTTTCTGCATGACCTGTCCCTCTTCCCCCCACTTTTAAATGCAGGAGGTTCATGTGGCCTTTGTGTACTCACTGAAGGGCCACCGGGAATACACACTTAAAGCACACACCAGCTTCTGTTCTGCCAAAATGACAGGGCTCCATATTCCCACATATCGGGGAATGTTTCTATGGGGAAGAAACTAAATCTGGGTTGTTTTTCCACAGAGTGTGTGGTTGGGGGGGTGCACACTCGTAGGGACGGTTTCTTGGCTGATTGCATCCTAGCCTGGAATTTGCTGGAAAGGTAGAGCCAAGAAGTGATAAATAAAAGATGCAATCTCCCCACGTGTGGGCTGTACCAGTGCAGGGGGGGAGGTTGTGCAGTAGACCTTGAGGAAATTAATTGGCACACTTTTGCTTTGGACCTCCCTCTTACTCCACAACAACCCCTCACTGTTAATCAGGGCAAAGATGAAGGAAGCATTTTCCTTACAAAAGCTAACACTACTGCTTCTCCAGTTTAGACTGGAGAGCAACTTTATTCCTCAGTTGTATCCAGTAGTTGGACAAGTCTCTTCCAGTGACACTAAAGGATAACAACTCAAGTGTGCTGCTGTTCCAAATACGCTCTTGGCTGTGGGCGGCAATTTAATATAAGGGAATCTAGAGTTAAACCGATTAATCACTTTCCAGGTCATTATTGCAGCAAATATGTTAATCGTTTGATGTTTCTTTGTCTTACATTACAGTAAAGTAAACATCTTTGGGTTTTAGACTTTCTTTTGGGCCAAAAATCTGAATTTAAAGGCCTTACTGTCATTACAGGGGATTTTTTTTGTTTTATAAAACTCATTATCAATTAAGAAAGTAATCATCAGATTAACTGATAAGGACAGCAGTCAATAGTTGCAGTCCTAAGGTGGCCTGAAGGTTCTTGTCTCAACTTAACCTTCACCAACTAAAAGAATCAAACATCAAGAGTGCTTTAATTTCCCTAAACCTTTGAGTGAGCTTCTGAATCACATAACATTGAAAACTTTTATTGATTAATGGATAAAATGAGATTTAAATATACTGATTTTAAAACGTATATGCAGTCAGTATTAAAGGAGCATACAGTAAAATATAATCAGAAGTATTGGAAAAATGTTTTTCTTTAAAGGAGTTTATTTTACATGGTGTCACTAACTAAAACGCAGACAGACTCTGGTAATCAAACCCCCAGAGAAAGGTGTGACACCATTTCTCGATGAGTTTCAGGCTGAGTCGCAGCTGAGAATTTGAAAACCTTTCATGTACTTTGGTTTGTAGGAAGCAGAAATGCATCATGTGTGCAATGACGGTGACTGGTACTAAGATTTCTTGAGGTATTAAGGTTCTAATGTTGTGAAATGCTAGAAAACAATTTGACTTTTAATTGTGGCACAGAAAAGTTTAAGAAGTGCTGTTGTTGTCATCAGAAGTAGCTGTTTGCCAGGCCGTGTTGACTGCTGCTGTGTTGACATTAAATGTATCATCTCGAACATGACGTGGACGTGGAGCAGTTCATACACATCAGTGCGTGGGGATGTTGAAGTATAGGTTTGAGCTGGAGTATAGGCTGCAGTTGCATGTTGAAGTATAGGCTGTGGTGTTTGTGTGCACTGAGCACGGTTATTTTAGCTACGTTTACCTCAGCAAGGAAATACGTGGTTTCTGTATATACATATATATGGTGAGAAAACACATGTTGTAATTTGTTTTTTTGTCTGTATTACTAGATCACGTTTAAGCTGCACTACAAGTTTAAGTTCATGGCCTTGATGTGCTTCCATCTGCTGTATTAGGTCAAAGGTCATGGAAGCATCAGCACTGTTCAGGGTGTGAATCAATTCCTCCTCTTTCTTCTCTTTACAATTCTGATCAGCCAGGAATTAAAGGAACTTATGAAGGAATAAGGGCTGCAATTAGCAATTATTTTCATAAGTGATTAATCTGCAGATGATCTTCAGATTCCCATCATCCAAGAGGATGTCTTCAGAGGTTTTACTTTGCCCAACCAGCAGTCCAAAACCCTGTGATATTTTCTTTATTATTAGGAAAGACTGCAAGGCTGTGGCCAGTGACTACAATTATTTACCATTTATTAGAACAATTACAGATGAATTTCATGTCGAGGTTAAGATTTAAAGGTTTTGACCTGCACAGGTAATTATTTTCATTATTGATTCATCTGGTGATTAGTTTCTTGATTAATATGTTAAAATTACTGAAAAATGTGCATTTCTTCAGCAGCCCAAGTGGCGTCTTCAGATTCCTGATTTTTTCTGACAAACCCCAGAAATATTTCAGCTTGCAATGACTAAACATGATAAGCATGGGGAGGCCTAAGGAGGAACCAGAGAATATTTGGCCATTTTGCCAGAAAAATAAGTGAAATGATTAAGCATTTATCAAAATAGTTGGTAATGAAATTAAATGCTGGTTTCAGCTCTAAAATTCCATGCGCCTGTTCTCTGAGTCATAATAACTCAGTCAAGTTCCCTAGGTTCAGTGGGACGTATACTTGGATAACATTATGTCCACTGTCTCACAAATAAACATTAATAAGTCTGCTTAGAAACCACAGAAGACAGATGCTCATTATAACTCCAGGACCTGCCTGAGAATCATCAGTAATCCAGTGAGTGTTGTTTGCACATCCATGGGTATGGTACAGACAGGAGCTGCTAATAGCTAATTCAGCATACTTTAATTATGCCAATTTGCCATAATGTAATTAAATTAAGGCTAAAAACATGGTGTTCAACTTGATAACTCACTGACCCTAAGGCAGCATTATTCGTTTGTTTACAGCCCCCACATCTCCCAGATTGTGGGAGCTGTAGCTACACAGCTTAGAGCAAATAGACAAACAATAACCAAATCCACATTGTCATAAATTGTGTTGTTTTGTGATATTAGAGGGCTGCTGATTGTCTAGATGCTGTCTGAGGTGAGAGCCAGGCTGCCAGATGTTGAAAACCACAGGTGTAAAATAACATTTTTCATGGAAATGGAAAAATAATTTAGTGTGTGAGCTGCTTCCTTGGAAATGATCATAACTGAGTTACAGGCCTGTTGCGTTCCAGTCAGAAGGCTGGTATCACTGCAGTCTGTGGAGTATGGCTGCACGTTCAGGGTCTTGTGCCTCTGAGGTTTTCCTCACATTTCATCTTGTGATATGAGAGGTGGTTGTTTCTGG